ACGCAAACATATTCATGATTGTCAAATTCAATGCTAAATTTCTTAATGAAAGTTCCATCGCACTATTGAGACTCCGTTCGCCTTATTGTATGCCTGTTCGCTCTAATGACAATGCTTCTTCGCTTTAATTAATATTCCTTTGCGGTTAATGAACAGCAAAAGGTATAATAATAACAATAATAATGATAATAATAGACATTTGTTAGTGACACGCCAAGGATATATCCTAGAATTATAACAGTTTCGCTTTATTCTTGTAAAAAATTATGCATACTGAAAGTTTAAATAAACGAAGATAATAATAATAATTATTATTATAATAGCAACTTTATTTGAAGAGGGTAACACACAACAATACAAGAGAACTGATAATCCAGTGGCCCTCCAGTGGTAGTAGAGGACAATGACGCCATCATGCAAACGTCTTATTTAAAAGTGTTTGTATCGTTACACCTTGCTATACGTAAATGAATAAAATAACAAAATATAAATTGTGTTTTTTTCCTAACCATTCTTYAACTGAAACTATTATTTTTGTCCAGCAATCTGAGTATTACGACACGACACAAGTCCCAGATGGCAGGAACCAAAATAGAATATGACCACAGTGGCAGGATACTGTCAAAAACACCATGTGCAAGGCAGATAGGAACTACTGTGACTTTGACCAACTTATTCTCAACACTACCAGTCCGTCATAAGGAGTTTCAGCGCAATGTAAAGAAAGAGTTTGTCAAGCTTGTACATGTGTTGAACGGTTACTGCCTGATCAGTAGCAGTGTGAGGATTAATTGCACTAATCTTATCGGCAAGAACAAGAAGATGACGATTGTATCRACCACTGGTGGAGACCAGATCAGGGATAACATTACTTGTGTATTTGGGGCAAAACAGGTTTGTAATTAAGTAACTTAATAATATATATATATAAAACAATAAAACATTCCCTTCATATATCCTATAAATTTACCTATCAGTGTTGAGCCCCTGGGAGGGTTGAGGGGGGAGGGGCAGGCTACCCTTAAGAAAATTTACATTATTCAATGTGAACCAAAAGAAAAACTCTGAAGAGAAAAAAAGGAGTGAACCTAAATCAAGAACTYGTATGACATCAGGAATTGAATTTCATACTTGAGCATGCTATCACAGAGACAAAACAATAATTTACAAGCCTTGCATGAAATGACTAAAGAAGAGGGCCAATTGGGCTCTCACAACTTCAAGTTGCTTGAGAAATGAGCCAGCTAGAAAACTATGAAAATATAGAAATGAGCCAACTAGAAACTGTGGACAGCTGTTTCAGCCTGTTTTGGGCCCCGTCAGCACGGTGTATCTAGTGAGTTGGTAGAATCCCACGAAAAAGTAGTACATGAAAGATGAGATGGTAAGCCGTGTGGGATGTGCTCCGAAATCATTTAAGAACTCTAGTTGAGCTGGCTCATTTTTTACATGACTTGAAGTTGTGAGAGGCCCATTGGCCCTCTTCTTCCATCGTTTCATACAAGGCTCGTAATTTGCCTATTACGCATGTTCTTAAATGATTTCGGAGCCCAACCCATATTCAAAAACTGAATTCAGTTCTCTTTTWTTTCAACTTTCTTTATTTCATCATAATTTATAAATAATGTACATTCATTCATTTACATTGATTTTGATATCTATACTGATTGGGACTATCCGATAATCAAATAAATAATTAATCTTTGTTTTTTTCTTTTTCTAAGATTATTTTCATTCAATAGTGCCCTATTCTATTTGGGGGGAAAAAATAAATAAAGGGGGGGGAGGGGGAGAAGTTGCTCTATTATATAATATGAATATACCTGTTGTGCATGGAGTTCTTTTTTTTTTTCGGTACACTTTTTGAACTGATAAACTAATTATTTTGAAATTGATTGTGTCTATTAATTTGACTGATTAGTAGGTTTATACTTAAACAATTAGACCTGTTGCCCTCATGGTGTAATTGTTAATTAGCTGTACGTTTTTAGCCAATCAGAAGAAAAATAGTGAATATAAGCTGACAAATGTCAAGAAAGGTCATGATTGGGCGTATACTATTCTAAAAGTGCATGGGAAAAATTACGCAAATAATGAATGGGTGAACAAAACTACATGAATTTTCACTTCATCGAACTACATGAACATGATACAATTGTTTTCCATTTTCCTTTCATTTTTTCACACAGGTTCAGTCATTAATCCCATTTAAACAAATGGAGCCATCAGAAGAAGAACTCAATGAGTTTAACATCCCAAACAGCCAGTCTACTTTGTATGAAATAACTGGGTACATTTCTAAGGYGGACCATGGGCTTGGTCGAAGCACTGCTGACAGACAGTTCTTTTACATCAACAAGAGACCATGTGACCTACTCAAAGTGTCACGTGTTGTCAATGAGGTGTATCACATGTTTAATCGACATCAATATCCRTTTGTCATGTTGGATATCTCCCTTCAACGAGGTAAAATGCCAATAAACAATCATTGAATGAGGTTTAGCATGATGTCAAATTATAAAGACTGAGGCCATATTATCTGCCGGAGCCATAGTCAGAGGCGGATAAAACTGCTTAGTTCTCGATGAATTACAATACTATGTGAAAAACTGAATTTAATAGGCGTTTTATTATACATTTTGTAGAACGGTTTTCGTATGCGTGGRAAACAGACGGTACTGTCTTAYAACAAATTTATAACCGCTGACCAAATTCCTAAGCATAGCGCGTTGAAACAAGCGATGTTGCGTGATTTTGTTGCAACGTGTGTTACCCCAGTTCAAATTTGTTGCGTGCAATGTTGCACCGTGTGCTGCATATCTTATCCCATTTATACCAAGCTCGCTCTTGTTCAAGCTCTSTTCTCATACTCATTAATAATTCATAAGTAAACCAGCMAATCCATGAGCTATTTTTGGGTCACATGATGTTACTTGAAACCTGGTAAAGTCCTGTGAAAGGACTGAATTCAGTCTAGTAACTGGAACAAAATTAATTCAGTYCTAGGACTGTATTAATTTTATTCCAGCTACTCCAAGTCGAATAATTAATAAGCATGAGAAGTCATTTCAAAGCCRACAATATTGGACTGGACGGGATTTCAAGTCCAAGCAATTATTTCCAATATTGTCGGCTTTGAAATATTACATCCCATTCATGTTTTATTTCTTTTYTCAGATGCTGTGGATGTAAACGTCACCCCAGACAAGCGACAAGTTTTCATGCAAGAAGAAAAACTATTACTGGCCATAATAAAGTCCTCTTTGAAAAGAATGTTTGATACCGGAACATCAAGTTACGAAGTGAACCAGAAACCTCTGAGTCAAATGAATTTATCATTTATAAAAAATGATAAACAAACCACGAGAAACGAGAATAATGAAAGTGACGGGTTAATCGCTCGAAGTCTGTCAGTTCAAACATTTCCTTCGTTAAAGAGCTTCAAAAGGCCCTTTTCTTMTATAGCAAACGACTCAGATGTAAACAGAAAACCAAAGCAAGCAAAACTCACGAMTTTTTCTCAAGAAACGAGTATTTCAAACTGCGAGGGACTCAATAACTCRCTAGAACTGAAAAGTAAGGACGAAATATCTTGCGAATCTTGTGCCGTTTTTGTCTGTGAAAAAAGCCAAGAATCGCGCGAAAATATTGCAAAAGATGCATCAACAGTAGATGTAAATCTTGATGATGAAGTTCAGATAATCAAACAAGAGAAGGAAGTTCAAAATCTTGAGGCAGAGGAGCGTGGAAGTGAGAATTTTGAAATGAAACACTCCAATCCTGATGTCATTGATTTATCGATAGAACCAGTGAAGACAAGTCTGGTAGATGGGAAAAGTGTTCAAGACAACTCTGAATCGCAAGGAAGAATCACTACAGTAGATGTAGTTCTTGATGACGAAGTTCAGATAACTAAACAAGAGAAGGAAGTTCAAAATCTTGAGGCAGATGATCGTGAAAGTAAGAATTTTGAAGTGGAAGACTCAAATTCTGATGTCATTGGTTTATCGATAGAACCAGTGAAGACAAGTCTGGCAAATGGGAAAAGTGTTCAAGACAATTCTGAATCGCGAGGAAGAGGCACATCAGACAAGGGTATTCGCACAAAGAGTCGCAACCTTAAAGAAATCATAAAAACACGAAAAACAATGCATGTTGACTTCAACATTGAAAAACTTCAAAATACAGGAARCTCAAGGATGATTCAACAAAACTTAGAAAGAACAGCACGGATTTTTCGAGCGAAAATCTCCCCAGAAAACAACACAGCAGCCGAAGATGAGCTCACTAAAAACATTACCAAAGAGTCATTCGCAGAAATGGAAATTCTAGGGCAGTTTAATCTTGGTTTTATTCTAACAAAACTTGGTGAAGATTTGTTTATTATCGACCAGCATGCTTCGGACGAGAAGTATAATTTTGAGTATCAACAGAAACATACTTCTCTGAACTCACAAAAATTGATTGTACCAAGGAACTTGGATTTGACTGCATCTGGTGAGTCTGTTCTTATTGACAATATTGAAATTTTCCGTAAAAATGGTTTTGAGTTTGAGATTGATGAGAGCGCTGAGACAACGAAGAAAGCTAGGTTGGTATCAGTTCCTGTCAGTAAGAATTGGACGTTTGGAGTTGAGGACGTGGAGGAATTACTTTTTATGTTAAGCGATTCTCCCGGTGTGATGTGCAGACCTACTCGTGTGAGAAAGATGTTCGCGAGTCGGGCTTGTCGAATGTCGATAATGGTAGGAACTGCTTTGACTCGTGAGCAGATGAGAACGGTTGTGAATCATATGGGTGAGATGGAGCACCCGTGGAATTGTCCTCATGGACGACCAACTATGAGACATGTTATCAACCTGAGCATGATTGCTGGTGTTAAGGATGATTAGTA